CCTGTGCTTCATTTGGGCCAGTGACTTCCTCAGTGTTTGACATCTGGTTTTTTTTTTGAGACAGAGTCTCTGTGTCACCAGGTACTGTGCAGTGGTGTGATCTTGGATCACTGCAAGCTCCATCTACTGGTTCAAGCAATTTCTGCCTCAACCTCCCTAGTAGCTGGGACTACAGGGTCACGCCACCACCACAACCCAGCTTTTTTGTATTTTTTTAGTATAGATGGGGTTTCACCTGTTGGCCAGGGTGTTCTTAATATCTTGACCTCATGATCTGCCCTTCTTAGCCTCCCAAAGTGCTGGATTACAGGTGTGAGCCACCACGCCCCGCCCACCATCTGTTTTCGTTACCGTTACCGCCATGTTAATAAAAGACCTGTGCCAACAGGATTCAGCATGATGTAATCCTCACAATGTTTCTTTTTCTCTTATTGCAGGAGTGGTCTGTGGGCTACTATTACCATTGTACGTATTCTTTTTCTTTTAAATAGTTACTTAGATGTATTGACATGCAAACCAATTCACCCATTTAAAGTAGGTGATTCAGTGTTTTTATTATATTTTCAGGGTTGTGCAACCATTGTTACATTCTAATTATAGAACCTCTTCATTCTGCCCAAGAAACCCTTATTAGTAGTGACTCCTCTGTTTTCCCGAACTCCTGCACCCTGGTTCCAGGCAGCCCTAATCTACTTCCTGTTTCTATAGTATGCTGCCTTTCCATATTAGCCAGTTCTTCAAATGACTATTTCACAGTGATGAGGTTGCCCTAGCTAGGAAGCCAAGGCTCTTCATTTCTCTCTGCCCCTCTCCTTTGCCTTCCTTCAGCACCAAGGAGAATAGTCCAGCAGCAGCTCAATCCATGCTTGTCACCGCCCAGCTCCACACATTCCAGCCCCACGTTCCCCAAAGCTCCTTGTGATATTCCTCAGCAGCACCAGTGCACTGACTGTCACTCTGTGTTCTCTTAGGTCCTATTGTGGCCCTCCAGGAGTGCGTCCATGAAGACATTAAGGACGAGGAGCCCTGGTGAGATGCATTTGTTCATTTTGATGAGAAATGTCTTTTCCTGGGGCTTCTAGAATATCAAGTGAATATCATTTTTGACTGCCATTGTGAATCAGACCTCAGTTGTCATGGCCTCTAGCCACCAGCGACCAGTCACTGGAGTTTATGACCAACTGGGGCCTGATTGATGATATCAGTCCAAAGATGACATCACTGACAAACTAGTAGTGAGCCTATTCTCAGTAGCAACATTTTCTTCTTGAAAAGTAATTTTGCATTTGGCAGCGAACATGGACTTGCTAAATATCCCATGAAAACCCACTGCCTCGGTGGCTCACACATGGAATCCAGCACTTTGGGAGGTTGAGGCAGACAGGGTCAATATAATGAAACCTCATCTCTACTATAAATACAAACATTAGCCGACATGGTGACAGGCACCAGTGGTCACAGCTACTTGAAGGCTGAGTGAGGCAGGAGAATTGCTTGAACCCGGGAAGCTGAGGTTGCAGTGAGCCGAGATCATGCCACTGCACTCCAGCCTGGGTGACAGAGCAAGAATCTGTCCAAAACCAAAGACAAAAAGCCACAGCCCTTTCTCCAAGCATCCTCTATGCTTTATTTGGGGGTCAGTGACTTGATCACTGTTTGATACCTGGTTTTCGAACACCACCAAGTGAATAAAAGACCTGTGCAGTCAGGACCCAGTATGATCTGATCCTCATGATGGTCTTTTTCCCCTCTTACTGCAGGCGGATGCGTCACGTGAGGATCACCACCGTACGTATTTTTTGTTTGACATAGCTTCATTGGGATGTAGTTGACATGCACTCAATTCACCCATTTAAAGTTGGTGATTTGGTGTTTTTAATTATATTTAGAGGCTATGCACGCATGTTACAATCTAATTGTAAAACCTCTTCATTCCTCCTCAAAGAAACCTCATTAGTAGACACCCCTCTGTTTTTCCCAACCTTGCACCCCCGGTTCTAGGCAGCCCTAATGTACTTCTTGTTTCTATATACAGTGCCTTTCCGTATATAAACCGGTTCTTAAGGTGACTATTTCACAGTGATGAGGTTGCCGTAGCTAGGAAGCCACGGCTCTTTCATTCTCTCTCTGCCCCTCTCCTTTGCCTTCCTTCAGCACCAAGGAGGAATAGTCCAGCAGCAGCTGAGTCCATGCTTGTCACCGCCCAGTTCCAGACACTCCAGCCCCCGTCCACGTTCCCCAAAGCTCCTTGTGAGATTCCTCAGCAGCACCAATGCACTGACTGTCACTCTGTGTTCTCTTAGGTCCTGTTGAGGTCCGCCAGACTGCGTCCTTGAAGACATCGAGGACGAGGAGGCCCCTGGTGAGAATGCATTTGTTCATCTTGAGGAGAAATGTTCTTTCTCTGGGGCCTTCAGAATATCAGTGAATATCATTGTTGACTGCCATTGTGAATCAGACCTCAGTTGTCATGGCCTCTAGCCACTAGCGACCATTCACTGAGTTTATGACCAACTGAGGCCTGATTGACGATGTCAGTCAAAAGATGGCATAACGTTACCACTGGTCGTGTGCATATTTCTCAGTAGCAACATTTTCTTGTTGAAAAAATAATTTTGTATTTCCCAGCCAGCATAGACACTTGCTAAGTATTCCAAACCCACTGCATTTTCAGTAGCATCCCTATGCTTCATTGGGGCCAGTTACTTCCTCAATGTTTGACATCTGGGTTTTTTCTTGAGACAGTGTCTCTCTGTGTCACCAGGCTATAGTGCAGTGGTGTGATCTTGGATCACTGCAGGCTCCACCTACTGGGTTCAAGCAATTCTGCCTCAGCCTCCCGAGTAGCTGGGACTACAGGCTCACGCCACCACCACACCCAGCTTTTTGTAGTTTTTTAGTATAGGTGGGTTTTCACCATGTTGGCCAGGGTGGTCTTAATATCTTGACCTCATGATCTGCCCTTCTTAGCCTCCCAAAGTGCTGGATTACAGGTGTGAGCCACCATACCTCACCCGCCATCTGGTTTTCTGATACCACCATGTTAATAAAAGACCTGTGCCAACAGGATTCAGCATGATGTAATCCTCATGATGTTTCTTTTTCTCTTATTGCAGGAGTGGTCTGTGGGCTACTATTACCACTGTACGTATTCTTTTTCTTTTAAATAGTTACTTAGATGTAGTTGACATCAAACCAATTCACCCATTTAAAGTAGGTGATTCAGTGTTTTTATTATATTTTTCAGGGTGTGCAACCATTGTTACATTCTAATTATAGAACCTCTTCATTCTGCCCCAAGAAACCTTACTAGTAGTGACTCCTCTGTTTTCTGAACCGCTGCAGCCCTGGTTCGAGGCGGCCCTAATCTACTTCCTGTTTCTATAGTACGCTGCCTTTCCATATTAGCCAGTTCTTCAAATGACTATTTCACAGTGATGAGGTTGCCCTAGCTAGGAAGCCAAGGCTCTTTCATTTCTCTCTGCCCCTCTCCTTTGCCTTCCTTCAGCACCAATGAGAATAGGTCCAGCAGCAGCTCAGTCCATGCTTGTCAGCCGCCCAGCTCCACACATTCCAGCCCACGTTCTCCAAAGCTCCTTGTGAGATTCCTCAGCAGCACCAGTGCACTGACTGTCACTCTGTGTTCTCTTAGGTCCTGTTGAGGTCTCCCAGGACTGCAACCTTGATGACACCGAGGACGAGGAGCTTCTGGTGAGATGCATTTGTTCATCTTGAGGAGAAATGTCTTCTCTGGGGCTTGTAGAATATCAAGTGGATATCATTTTTGACTGCCATTGTGAGTCAGACCTCAGTTGTCATGGCCTCTAGCCACTAGCGACCAGTCACTGGAGTTTATGACTAACTGAGGCCTGATTGACGATGTCAGTCAAAAGATGGCATAACTTACCAACTGGTCGTGTGTATATTTCTCAGTAGCAACATTTTCTTCCTGAAAAATAATTTTGTATTTTTTAGCCATCATAGACACTTGCTAAATATTCCAAACCCACTGCATTTTCAGTAAGCATCCCTGTGCTTCATTTGGGGCCAGTTACTTCCTCAATGTTTGACATCTGGGTTATTTTTGAGACAGAGTTTCTCTGTCACCAGGGTACAGTGCAGTGGTGTTATCTTGGATCACTGCAAGCTCCACCTATTGGGTTCAAGCGATTCTACTGTCTCAGCCTCCCGAATAGCTGGGACTACAGGCTATACCACCACCGACACCCAGCTTTTTTGTAGTTTTTAGTATAGATGGGGTTTCACCATGTTGGCCAGGGTGGTCTTAATATCTTGACCTCATGATCTGCTGCCCTTCTTAGCCTCCCAAAGTGCTGGATTACAGGTGTGAGCAACACGCCCCCGCCCGCCATCTGGTTTTTTGATACCGCCATGTATCAGAAAAGACCTGTGCCAACAGGATTCAGCATGATGTAATCCTCACGGTGTTTCTTTTTCTCTTATTGCAGCAGAGTACTGTGGACTGGTATGTACAACGGTACGTATTCTTTTTCTTTTAAATAGTTACTTAGATGTAGTTGACATGCAAACCAATTCACCCATTTAAAGTAGGTGATTCAATGTTTTTATTATATTTTCAGGGTTGTGCAACCATTGTTACATTCTAATTATAGAACCTCTTCATTCTGCCCCAAGAAACCTTATTAGTAGTGACTCCTCTGTTTTCCCAAACCCCTGCAGCCGTAATCTACTTCCTGTTTTCTGTAGTACGTTGTCTTTCCATATTAGCCAGTTCTTCAGATTACTATTTCACAGTGTTGAGGTTGCCCCTAGCTAGGACACCAGGCTCTTTCGTTTTTTTCTGCCCCTCTCCTTTGCCTTCGTTTAGCACCGGTGAGAATAGTGTAGCAGTAGCTCAGTCCATGCTTGTGAACCGCGCAGCTCCACACACTGCAAGCCCCCCGTCCACAGTTTTCCAAAACTCCTGTGCAGATTCCTCAGCAGCACCAGTGCACTGACTGTCACTTTGTGTATTTTTAGGTCCTGTTGAGGTCCTCCAGGACTGCGTCCTTGAAGACATAGAGGACGAGGAGCCCCTGGTGAGATGCATTTGTTCATCTTGAGGAGAAGTGTCTATTTCTGGGCTTCTAGAATAGAAAGTGAATATTATTTTCCGACTGCTATTGTGAATCAGATCTGTTTTCATGGCCTCTAGCGACTAGCCACCAGTCACTGGAGTTTATGACCAATTGAAGCCTGATTGACGATGTCAGTCAAAAGATGCATAAACTTACCAACTGGTCGTGTGCATATTTCTCAGTAGCAACATTTTCTTGTTGAAAAATAATTTTGTATTCCCAGCCAGCATAGACACTTGCTAAGTATTCCAAACCCACTGCATTTTCAGTAAGCATCCCCTATGCTTCATTTGGGCCAGTGACTTCCTCAGTGTTTGACATCTGGGTTTTTTTGAGACAGAGTCTCTCCGTGTCACCAGGGTACAGTGCAGTGGTGTGATCTTGGATCACTGCAAGCTCCATCTACTGGGTTCAAGCAATTCTACTGCCTCAGCCTCCCGAGTAGCTGGGAGTACAGGCTTACACCACCACCACACCCAGCTTTTTTGTAGTTTTTAATATAGATGGGGTTTCACCATATCGGCCAGGGTGGTCTTAATATCTTCACCTCATTATCTGCCCGCCTCAGCTTCCCAACATGCTGGGATTACAGGTGTGAGCCACCGCGCCTAGCCTGCCACCGTGTTTTCTATTGTCACCAAGTGAAAAGACCTGCACTAGTTGCCCTCAGCATGCTCTGATGCTCATGGCATTTTGTTTCATTTCTCTTGTTGCAGACCACCACGGCAGCCCCAAGTCTCTAATGTAAGTGTTCTTTTTCTTACACCGCTTTATTAACAGGTAGTTGACATGCCAAACAATTCACTCAATTAAGGTGGGTGGTCTCGGGTTTTTACTCTATTTACAGGTTTGTGCAGCCATTGTCACAGTCTAATTTTAGAATCTTATCATTCCCCCTCAGAGAAACCCCATAGCCATTAGTAGCCACTTCTCTTTTATTTCAACCCCACACCCCTGGCCCTAGGCAGTCGCTAACCTACTTTTTGTTTCTCTAGATTATCCTTCTTTGGCAGTCTCTTTTATAATTATATTTGATTTCATTTCCGACATACATGTGCAGGATGTGTAGGTTTGTTACACAGGTCAAAGTGTGGCTTGTTGTGCTGCACCTGTCAAGCCTTCACTTACGTATTAAGCCCCACATTCATTAGTTGTGTATTCTGATGCTCTCCCTCCCGCTTGCCTTCCAGCAGGCCCCAGTGTATTTTGTTCTTCTCTTTAACATTGTACATATTCTAATACCACTTCTTCCTAATGACAGAACTAAGTGATGAGTCGGGATTTTCTTGCTTGCTTTTGTCTGGAGAACACCTGGCTTCAGGTTCCTGATAGGTGTGAGGATCTGGGGCATGGTGTGAGAAACAGATGGCTCCGTGAAGAACTTGGCTCTGGGACAGGAGAATCTTTGTCCTGCCCTATTGATGCTACTGTTGAAATAGGTTTTTGTTTCCTTCTGAAAACCTTCACACTCAGAGAGCCAAGGTAGCTGCAGTCATGATGAAGATCAAGTGGACCACATGATAGTTTGAGGGGTATTTTTGGAGCATGCGTTCTGTGGAAATGCATTGCTTTTCAGTAAAACTTGGTTGTCCTGTATGTGTCAGTATTTTTCCAATGGAACAAAAGAATGAAACTGTTTGGGCAATGTCACTTGTTCACCCCAGAAGTGATTTTCTCAGGACCAGATTGTCCCAGATATCTTTAATCTAGATGAAGCTTCCCAGTGGTTCTCAGGCTGCTGGTTGTGTGAGTCAAGGAAAATGTCGGTGTACGAACACTGAGGTTCTCAGAATTCATGGACAGCTGCTCAGTGGACTCCATGGGAGAGAGCAAGAGTGAGCCTCATGCTAGACCTGAAGGGGAACATGATATAGAGGATCAGAGGGAAAGAAATGAGGACATTTGGGACATTGTTAAAAGAGAATGTCAAGGTTGCAATGTTAGGGGCATCAGTTCAGCATCATCACCAGGGCCCAGGCATGATGAGACCCTTTCTGGGGAGGAGTGAGTGGGACTTGGCCTTCCTCTTATTCAAAAGCTTGGTGTGAACATCACCCTTAATTCCTCGAGAAAGGGGCTTCCTTTCTGTCCCATGTCTTCTCCATCTCTGTGTGATGGCAATGACACCAGCAGAAATTGCTGAGAGGGGCAGAACAGGAATCAGGTCCCCATCATTCTGACACAGAGCAGACAGGACACAGTCAGTAGGAGTGGACCTAAGGGTCAGGCCAGACACAGAGAGGTCCCAGGCCTGATCTTCTTGGGGCTGAGACAGGTAAGTTTTTTATTTTTCACCTTTTTTGGAAGTCTTCTGAGGAATGTTTTTTCAGTAGACCCTGTTGGCCAATGGTCTTCTGGCCCAGAAATGCTTTTCAACTGGACAGTTTCCCAGCTCTTGGCCTGGGCAGCTGCAGCACTCCCAAGTAGCAGGGCAGGTGGGGAGGGACATGAGTTACAGTGCAGGGTGATCTCAGCAAAGAGCTGGGGACTAATCCCAGAGTCCAGGTCATTGTTCCAACTCTTCTGTGGATCCATAACATCTCAGTTTCCACTTATTTCGGCAATGGTTTAAAATCTTCTGTCTGAAAGTCTGCGTCTTCCCACAGGTGAATAGAGGAACCCTGGCTATGGGTGTTTACTAGCATAGCAGTGACTGTGTTTTCCCTCATTGTCCTTACCTTAGAGCTCAGTCCTGGGACGGACACATTAGGCTCCATGGATGTTTTAATGAACACACCCCTGGGATGAGCTCTGGGTCACCCCTTGGCTGGGACCTAGGCAGGTGTAGAAAGGTGTTCTTCTCAGCCTGCTCAGCCTGTTGAGCCCCACACTCTTCCTGGAGCCTGCCCAGCTTCTGAGTCAGGGTCCCTGGAGATGAGGACAAGCTCCTGAGGACAGTGAGGTGCCCCTACCCCTCTGCTCCTGCTGCTCTGATCTATTCTAGACAGGGTGTGCAGGGCCACGCTCTTACTGGGTGCAAGCTCGTTTCTGCTGGAATCCCTGTGGACCTGGATGTTGTCCTCACTGTCCTATCCCCAGCCCCACACAGTGACTGGCCCTTCTGCAGATGCCCAGGAAGTAACCATAAATGTGTGGTAGGATCAGAGCAGCAAACAGTTCTGCAGAAAACACCAGGAGAGGGGAGTCAGGTCTTCCTCATGTCTGGATCTCTGGAGCTGTCCCATCTAGTGTGCTTCTCAGTCATATACATGCCTCTTTTTACTTAAATAAACTTAAAGATATACAATGAAATATTTAAAACCTCATCACAACAGCCACCATGCAGTGGCCCAGCAGCCATACAGCAGAGAGCATTTCCATCCCCACAGAATGCCATCTTGCATGTCTGCTGTGAGCCTGGCCCAGGTTCTGACTGTTGGACTCATCTCCCTGAAAGCGGGCACATCAAAGTTGGGATCTCAGGGTTGTGGGATCGGAGGTGAGACCTATCATGGGCCAGTGGAAGGAAAAATGGAAAGGTGATTCCTTCAGCTTCTTTTTCTTACTTGAAGGCTGGAAAGTGTGAGCAATGCCTTCTTGATCTCTGGCTCCACAGAGCTTGGAGGGAGTCTGAGAACACTGAGGAAAGCTCAGGGTGACCTCTTGTAATCCAGTGTGACCTCACCTGGAGTAGGAGGGTTGGTGAGTTACTCTCTGAAGTAACTTCTTGCTGAGATTTGTGTCTCTAAAGATTGGCCAGTGGACACCATCCATGAGGGAAGCTGCAGTAGGACAATTTCTGCAGGTAGAAAATGATACCCTAGGCTGGGTGCAGTGGCTCACGCCTGTAATCTGAACACTTTGGGAGGCTGAGGTAGGTGGATCAAGACAATCCTGGCCAACATAGTGAAACTCCGTCTCTACTAAAAATTAGCATGCGCCTATAGTCCCAGCTATTCGGGAGGCTGTGGCACATTTGTAGCCACCACTTCCCACCCCTACCACAGATTCTGAGATGAGGCTTCTTTCTTTCCAGTTCTCTAATTTTTGGGGAAACCAAGAGTTCCTTCCCACAGAAGACGGCATTATACTATCTCCTGTCTTCAAAAATTAGGCTTCCGTTGTTCTCTATGTTGATATTTATAAGTTAAGTGCTGGACCTTTTATTCACAGATTGCTAAAAGTTGTACAGGAAACTTCATATGATAAAATGTGCTGATGGCACATATTCTGTCCATGCTATGGATGACATTTTGTCTTTGGAGGATCCTCATTTTACATAATAAGATGCAAAACTAAGTGGGCATTCTCTATCCAGTCTGGGGCACTTCATTAAAGAACTGAGTTTGCTGCTGTCATTTGCTTTTCTTCATGAGACCTTTGAACCACCTAAATATTGCCAGCACCCTCTTTTGGGACCCTGACATCTGAGAGGGGTGAGATGGCACAAGTGCAGACATCCCTGGTTCCTTCCTGAAATTTCCCTCCTCCTCTAATCATTTTCTTCCTTAAGGGAACTGCTCTGACTGCTAATGACTTGTTTAGACCTCTTCAGGTTTGGACTGTCATACACAGAATAAGTCAATATGTGATTCTCGGTGTCTGGCTTCTTCGCTCACGTTATGATTTGAAATTCATTCATGTTCAAGTGTAACTGTAGGTCTTCCATTTCCTCATTGCATACTGTTCCACTGTAGTCACGTATTACAGTTTATCCACTCTACTGTTGATTGACATAGAATTTTCTTTTGTTTTTAAATAATTATGGCTGTGAGGAGTAATGTTGCTTTAAGTATTTTTGTCAATGGTTTGGAATAATACTGGCACTCATTTCTGTGAAGTAGATTGTTAGAAGGGAACATATCTTTTAGTGTCACGAATAGTGCCAAATACTTTTCAGAATGGTGATGCTAATTCATGCTCCTGTAGCAGCATATGTGAGGAGACATTTCTTTAAATCCTTGTAAACTCTTAGTTTTATGTTTCCCTAAAAATTACATCACTAAGGTTAGTCTTTCATTTGTATAGCATCTTACTTAAAATTTCTAACCAAAAATTTTGTTTTAATCTAATGATGCAGGCCAGTAGGTTTGTGTACGCCCATCTGACCCCAGCCACGTAAGTAATCATTAATCAAAATGTCACTGTGCCACATGACTGTACTTGATAACAGCTGCTTACGTTATTAAAATGTGAAGGATAACTGATATACATTTAAGTCATGGATACTACGCGGTCACTTCTCTATGTTGCCTCCTTGAAGCATCACAGTCACTTTGAGGCATAATTAGTTTGGTTCTATTCATTATACAGATGAGGAATGTGAGTCTCAGTTAAGTAAATTATTCACGAGACACGCCCACATCTGGATCTCTCTGACACCACAGGCTAATCTGTAAACGAACGTGCTGCACTGCCTGTAGTGACGAAGTAGACTTGCTGTAAAGTGAAGTTTGCTTCCGCAGCTGGGCATGTGAGCTTAGCGGGGTTGCTGTGACCCATTGCTTTATGGGTTTGAGATTGGTGTTGCAGAAACCCAGTTGGAGAAGCTCTTGGCTGAGGGAGTGAAAAATGACTGAAAGGATAGATGAGTGCATTTGAAGGATCATGCTTCCATGGAGCATGTTGTCGAGCCTCTTGGAATAAGAACAGATACAATCAAACAGTCACCCTGTCCTCAGTTGTACCATTCATTAAGCATCAGCATGCCATGAAGTGCGCTCCCTGTTGTGTTGCGGGGGACATAAAATCTATCCTAGGCTTCTGTGGCCGCCCATTCTGTCCCATCCAGTGAAGCTCCGTTCTGTTCATTGGTCTACATCTCGGTTTCGGTATTAGTACCATGCCGTTTTGAGTACTGTAGCAGTTGACTAAGTTTCTGATCAGGTTTTCAGTATTCATTGAGAGAAGCAGAACCTCATGCGAACAATCCACAGCACACCATGCCCTCATACTGCTTTGTTTCTGTGTTGCAGGTAGTGCCGATGTTCCATCTGAAGTGTGACTGGTACGTATTCTGGAATTATTGTCAAGGAAAAAAAGCTGGTTTCAGTGTGCAGTGCCACCCTGATTCTGGGATTGTGATAGGAATAAGCATAGTGAAAGTGTTTTTTAAAAACCTGAGTTCCCCAGGGAAAAATCATGGCCAAATTTTGAGGCAGCAGCTGTGCTCCCTTCTGGGTGGCACTGAGTTGGGTGCTTGAGGATTGGCGGTGTCTTGTGTGAGGCTGCATCATGTGTGTGAATGTGTGTGCTTCTGCGCAGACGAGGCTGTGTGTTTTCTCAGGAGAGATTTCCCATTTACACAGCCCAGTCGCCAGTGTCCACTTTTAAAAAATAAAATCCAGCCCCACTCTACTGTCTGTACAGTGACTCCTGCACCCTCACCAGAGCCATCCCTGGGTCTGGTTTATTATCCTCACTGCTCAGGTGGAGAACCTGAAGGGCCAAGGGGTGGCCCCAGCTCCTGAGTTCCTGAATGAAAAAGTGAAAACACAAACCCAGTGGTGTGGGCCTGTGCTGACACTGGCAACTACTGGCATGCTCTTAGTCACAGGGTGTTCGCCACCACGCAGGGAGTCCAGCATTTATGTAGAAGCCCTAAGGAGGCCCCAGACACTGCCTGCCCATCGTTATAAAGTGGCCTCCGTGGCTGCACGACCCAGGGCACTTACAGGCACATCTCCCCACAGACCGGCGTAGCCATCAGTGTGAAAGCACAAAGATCCCCAGGTGTTCGGGTTGGCTCACAGATCCTTTTTTGTTTGGGGAAGCTGTGCAGGATGAGCAGGTTCGGTACATATGTAAACGTGTGTCATGAGCATTTGTTGTACAGGTTATTTCATCATCCACGTATTCAGCCTAATATCAGTTATTTTCCTGATCCTCCCCCTGCTCCCACCGTCCACCCTCCAGCAGGCCGCAAGCTCACAAATTCTGAGAGGAGTGGGGGACCAGTGAGGCCCACTTTAGTTGTGAAGTTAATTTGCTCAGCAGCTGGCCAAAGCATATAAGGAACCCTGATATCTTTTAGTAGATGTAGTAATATCTTCCCAAGCCCGAAAATGCTCAAACCTGCCAGCTGAAAATTGTGAGAGGGACAGGTAGGAACTCTGTGCAGCACTTGGTTGGTAGCCTGGTTTCCACCCGGTCGTGGCAACTCTTGTGCATGTGGGTTAAAGACCCTCAGCCTCAACCCAAGCCTCCGCCATGAGGTGACTCACTATTGGCTGACTATGCAGCGTATGGCCACCAGCCCTAGTGAAACAAAACGTTGCTTTAAAACAAGTTATGTATTCATAATGTTTACTCATTGTTTTGTAATCTCTGCTCTCTGTGGTTATGTCTTTCTATTAATTTCTGATATTAATTTTGTGATTTCCCTTTTTTCTTGATAAATCTCACTAATGACTTATGTATTAGACTTTTCTTGAAAACAACTGTTGGCTTTCATCTAGGGCTGGGGCGTCATTCACAGCTGGATCATCATCCACGGCTGAGTCATCATCCACCGCTGGGGCATCAGGGACATCATCCACAGCTGGGCATCATCCACAGCTGGATCATCATCCATGGCTGAGTCATCATCCAGGGCTGAGTCATCATCCACTGCTGGGGGCATCATCCACTGCTGGGACTTTGTCCATGGCTGGGGCATCGTCCACTTCTGGGGCATCGTCCACTGCTGGGACTTCGTTCATGGCTGGGACATCAACCACTGCTGGGACTTCATCCACGGCTGGAGTATCGTCCACTGCTGGGGCATCGTCCACTGCTGAGACTTCGTCCACCACTGCTGTGACATCGTCCACGGCTGGGGCATCCACTGCTGGGGCATCGTCCACTGCTGGGACTTTGCTTATGGCTGGGGCATCGTCCACTGCTGGGACTTCGTCCATGGCTGGGGCATCATCCACTGCTGGGACTTCGTCCACGGCTGGGGCGTCGTCCACGGCTGGGGCATCGTCCACTGCTGGGACTTCGTCCACGGCTGGGGCATCATCCACTGCTGGGACTTCATCCACGGCTGGGGCATCGTCCACTGCTGGGACTTTGTCCATGGCTGGGGCATTGTCCACTGCTGGGACTTCGTCCACGGCTGGGGCATCATCCACTGCTGGGACTTTGTCCATGGCTGGGGCGTCATCCACTGCTGGGACTTTGTCCACGGCTGGGGCATCATCCACTGCTGGGACTTCATCCATGGCTGGGGCATCGTCCACTGCTGGGGCATCATCCACTGCTGGGACTTCATTCATGGCTGGGGCATCAACCACTGCTGGGACTTCATCTACGGCTGGGGCATCGTCCACTGCTGAGACTTCATTCACCACTGCTGGGACATCGTCCACGGCTGGGGCGTCCACTGCTGGGACTTCGTCCACGGTTGGGGCATCGTTGACTGCTGGGACTTCATCCACGGCTGGGGCATCGTCCACTGCTGAGACTTCATTCACCACTGCTGGGACATCATCCACGGCTGGGGCATCCACTGCTGGGACTTCGTCCATCGCTGGGGCATCAACCACTGTTCGGACTTCATTCACGGGTGGGGCATCATCCACGGCTGGGGCATTGTCCACTTCTGGGACTTCATCCACGGCTGGGGCATCATCCACTGCTGGGAATTCATCCGTGGCTGGGGCATCATCCACTGCTGGGGTATCGTCCACGGCTGGGGCATCGTCCACTGCGGGGGCATTATCCACTGCTGGGACTTCATTCATGGCTGGGGCATCGTCCACTGTTGGGGGCATCATCCATTGCGGGGACATCATCCACTTCTGGAAGCATCCACTGTGGGGGCATCCACTGCTGGACTTCGTCCACAGCTGTGGCATCATCCACTGCTGGGACTTCGTCCATGGCTGGGGCATCAACCACTGCTGGGACTTCGTCAACGTCTGGGGCACTGTCCACTGTTGGGACTTCATCCACGGTTGGGGCATCGTCCACAGCTTGGTCATCATCTGCTGGGACTTTGTCCATGGCTGGGGCATCATCCACTGCTGGGACTTCATCCGTGGCTGGGGCATCATCCACTGTGGGGCCATCATCCACTACTGGACTTCATCCACGGCTGGGGCATCCACTGCCGGGGCATCATCCACTACTGGACTTCGTCCACGGCTGGGGCATCCACTGCTGGGGCATCATCCACTGCTGGACTTCGTCCATGGCTGGGGCATCATCCACTGCTGGGACTTCGTCCATGGCTGAGGCATCATCCACTGCTGCGACTTTGTCCATGGCTGGGGCATCGTCCATGGCTGGGGCATCGTCCACTGCTGGGACTTCATCCGTGGCTGGGGCATCATCCACTGCTGGGACTTCGTCCATGGCTGGGGCATCATCCACTGCTGGGACTTCATCCATGGCTGGGGCATCATCCACTGCTGGGACTTCGTCCATGGCTGGGGCATCATCCACTGCTGGGGCATCATCCACTGTGGGGGCATCATTCACTACTGGACTTCATCCACGGCTGGGGCATCCACTGCCGGGGCATCGTCCATGGCTGGGGCATCCACTGCCGGGGCATCATCCACTGCTGGACTTCGTCCATGGCTGGGGCATCATCCACTGCTGGGACTTCGTCCATGGCTGGGGCATCGTCCACTGCTGCGACTTCGTCCATGGCTGGGGCATCGTCCACTGCTGGGACTTCGTCCGTGGCTGGGGCATCATCCACTGCTGGGACTTTGTCCATGGCTGGGGCATCATCCACTGCTGGGACTTCATCCATGGCTGGGGCATCATCCACGGTGGGGGAATCATCCACTGCTGGGACTTCATCCACGGCTGGGACTCCATCCATGGCTAGGGCATCATCCACTGCTGGGGGCATCATCCACTGCTGGGACTTCGTCCATGGCTGGGGCATCATCCACTGTTGGGACTTCGTCCACGGCTGGGGCATCATCCACTGCTGGGACTTTGTTTATGGCTTGGGCATCGTCCACTGCTGGGACTTCATCCATGGCTGGGGGCATCATCCACTGTGGGGGCATCATTCACTACTGGACTTCATCCACGGCTGGGGCATCCACTGCCGGGGCATCATCCACTACTGGACTTCATCCATGGCTGGGGCATCCACTGCTGGGGCATCATCCACTGCTGGACTTCGTCCATGGCTGGGGCATCATCCACTGCTGGGACTTCATCCATGGCTGGGGTGTCGTCCACTGCTGGGACTTCGTCTACAGCTGGGGCATCATTCACTGCTGGGACTTCGTCCATGGCTGGGGCATCATCCACTGCTGGGACTTCGTCCATGGCTGGGGCGTCATCCACTGTGGGGGGCATCATCCACTGCTGGGACTTTGTTTATGGCTTGGGCATCGTCCACTGCTGGGACTTCATCCATGGCTGGGGCATCATCCACTGCTGGGGGCATCATTCACTACTGGACTTCATCCACGGCTGGGGCATCCACTGCCAGGGCATCATCCACTACTGGACTTCATCCACGGCTGGGGCATCCACTGCCAGGGCTTCATCCACTACTGGACTTCATCCACGGCTGGGGCATCCACTGCCAGGGCATCATCCACTACTGGACTTCGTCCACGGCTGGGGCATCCACTGCCGGGGCATCATCTACTGCTGGGACTTCGTCCATGGCTGAGGCATCATCCACTGCTGTGACTTTGTCCATGGCTGGGGCGTCGTCCACTGCTGCGACTTTGTCCGTGGCTGGGGCATCGTCCACTGCTGGGACTTCATCCGTGGCTGGGGCATCATCCACTGCTGGGACTTCGTCCATGGCTGGGGCATCATCCACTGCTGGGACTTCATCCATGGCTGGGGCATCATCCACTGCTGGGGGCATCATCCACTGTGGGGGCATCATTCACTACTGGACTTCATCCACTGCTGGGGCATCATCCACTGCTGGGGCATCATCCACTACTGGACTTCATCCACAGCTGGGGCATCCACTGCCGGGGCATCATCCACTACTGGACTTCATCCACGGCTGGGGCATCCACTGCCGGGACATCA